AGGGCTGGCTCATTTTGCTGGGTATGGTGTTTCCTGAATAAACGTATAGACTGAAGAATCAGCTGTCAAGCTCTCAACCATTTTTAGATCAGCGTCTTCCTCAAGTGAGGTCCCCAGCTCTGCATTTCGTTAAAATTAAGAAAAAGCATGAGGATTCAAAATACTCTGAAGAGCAGAGTGTTTTGCCTCCTATGATAGAGTGTGTTGGAGGCTGTACTCTGCATTGTGTTTTCAATGTAAAGGAAACAAAGAGTTACCATGTCATAGTTATCATCTTTCCAAGAAGGTCACTGACTTTTGGAGTCTGTAGACTTAATTTTCACTGGTATTTCCCAGGAAAGAGAAAAAATTGTCTGCTGTGCCATCAATGTATAAGTGCACCACATGCTTGCCACTGGTAAGGTGTTTGATTCAAGGTCCCTGTTAGGGCTGCATGAGCAAAAATTCCCACTGTAAAATTAGTTTCTGGGTTTGTAGTGCCCTAACACCTTCTAAGCCTGAAGATACCTGGCTGTTGGTGTGCTCACTTCATACGTGCTTACTGAATCCTGCGGGAACCACAGAGGACGCTGCTGCTGCCCTCCAGCCCCACGGCTCAGCCGTGCCTTGGCTGCGGTTTCAGCCCCAGCCCAGCTGCCCTGGCCCATGATCCCTGTTTTTACTCGGGGTTTGCAGAAGCACCAGGTGGCGCTTGAATGCAGGGCCAGGGCAGCCAGAGTCTTCCCAACGTTAGGGTTTATAGAAAAGTTTTAATTTTATTTCTATTTACTTGGATTTTTAGTTTTTGAAGGGCAGATTCCTGTCAGGGTTTCTTGTGGATGCTCTGTTGCTTAGTCTCACCACTTCATGCTTATTTTAAGCAACTTGTTACTGTTTTTACACACACTTGCCTTTTATAACGCCCTTTCCTTGCCAGATTTTTCTTTAACGAACACATGGGAAATTGCTTAGACAGGTTTGCTGGTTGCCATGAGAGTGATAGAAAACACAGCAGCATGAGTGAGGGGTTCTCTTAGGGACCCTTAAATTCCCACTGAAGTACAAAGACTCATCCTGAAATTTGCTAAGAGCCCAGGAAAGAAAAATTCTCAGCTCCTCCAAGTCTCTGCCAAGCATTCAGGATTGAGCTATGTGTTGTTTTACTCTAAGCTCATCCCAGGCAGACTCAGGGAGTTGCAGGTCACGTTTACTCTTCTCATTTAGCAGAACGATTTGTTTACAGTTGGTGCATACATCCTGCCTTTGGGGTTTAGATCAGAATCTGCAGGAACCTCAGACACAAGGATGTGCCCGTGGAATGATACAAATGGAAGATGCAGCATATCTCTGCAAAACCTACTCAAGGCTCTGACACCAATTTTCCATGAAAGTGCCTTGAAAAAACAAGAAGTTCATTATATTCAGAGTTGTCACTGTGGTCTTCCTTCCACTGTGAGAGGCTGGAGCCATTATTTCCCTGCCTTTAGAAGCAATTATAAGTGTTTGTGTGGAATAAGCATTAGAGACAACCAGGGAGAAAAGACCAGAGGAGAACACTGAGTTCATTGGTTTAGGAACAGTCAAACTGAGGAATGAGCTAAGAAATCCCCAAGTAGTACTGAAGATGGCAAAAACATTGTTATCCAAATTCACGAAATATTTCTAGAACACCTAATGCCTTAACCATCCTGCCTACCAACTGAGGCATGTCAGCTGTGCTGGATTTTCACAGGTACAGAGAGGGGTGTATGTGTGAGCTGATTTAATCAAACCTCTTTTGAGCACAGGCATAGTCTGTGTAGTACTGCAGTGCCCTTTCTGCTAAGCAAATGCAGATTAAAAATACCCAAACCCAAATTTTCTCTTCCACTTCTCTATACAGTCCTTTCTCCTCTTTATTTTTTTTTCCCCCTACTTGCTCCTGTATTCGAGTTTTAGTCTAAGGTATAAATTTAATTTGTCTTGTGAAGGAATTGGTAAGTGAATATGAGGTTGGGCATTTTGCAGTAAGTGTGAAATATAAGCTAGTCCTACTACAGCTATGGTTATCTCTGAGAATAACATAGAGTGATGTATTTCACTAATATATATATCTTAGCAACAGAAAGATGTTTAATGATGTCTCCTTAAAATAGAGGAAAAGCAATTTTGAACCCTATTTCTTCCCTAAACATATATTAGTATTCTAGGGTGCAGTGAAGGTGTTATGTGTGCTGAGAGTAGATAACCTTAATTTTATAGCCTGACAATTGAATGTAGATGCAGCATTTATGATTACAATCGTGTTAAAGCATGTTTTGAGTGCTGAACAGGCTCCTATCTCAGTGTGTTAGCGAAAAACCTTTTAAACTAGCACTTTTGAGGTGTCTAATTGGGGCTAATTTAATTTTTTGAAAGCATACGTGTAAAATATAGTAAAATAGATATAAGTCAATCTGTATTTGCTTAGTGTTGGTTACTTTGGTAATTAGAAACCAAAATAGAAAGACAGTGTGTCTATCTCAGATCAGACATTGCATAAAGTGGTGGGTGGCATCTCAGATCCTCAAGGGAGGTTTTTTGTGACTGGTGACAAACCCCTGACCACTTTCAACAGACTTTGGCCCTACATCCTTCCTTTTCTGGGAAGACGACTTCATAGGTAATTTATGCTTGTAATTCAGAGCTAAAGTAAAGTAGAAAGTTTAGAAACTATCTTTCAGGGTACTACCACTCTTGTTGTGGTACCTAGAGGTTCAAATGGGATATTTGGAAACATTTCTTTACTGAGAGGTGGTCAAATAGTGGAAGAGGCTTCATAGAGAGGTGGTTGATGCCCCATGTCTGTCAGTGTTTAAGAGGCATTTGGACATTTAATAATGTCCAAATTAATAATGTCCAAAGAGGCATTTAATAATATGCTTTAACTTTTGGTTAGCTCTGAAGTGGTCAGGCAGATGGACTAGATGATTGTTGTCAACTAATTCTATTGTATAGTTACCTCTCACTCCAGTGTGCAAATTGCAAATACGACAAACTGCAAACCATCAGAGCTCTGGCAAGGGGCTATAAACAAACCTGTTCATCAAGTGTTGCTGCTTCTCTCAGGAGATCATTCGTTTCATCTGCAGCATCATCAACCTGGATGGTCCAAAGCACAGCATGGTTCTTTTTTTTGGACATTGCTGCCTGTATGTGGGGGGAAAAATGTCAGTGCATCTGAAAACAAATGATTTGCCTTGTGAGGGCAAGGATAGAAATTTACAGGAAGGGAGTGGAAATTTATAGATTAAAATTACATAAAAAAAAAATGTAATCACTATTTGTACCTGGAGATGGGTGGTAGTGAGGTTCAGCTCATTCAAGCGCTTTTGAGCTGCAACACCTGTAGAAATGCTCAGTAAAGTTGATTTGCTTTCATCGATAGCTAGAACTGCTAATCGAATGTCATCTGTCAAATCCCAAATACATTTGTCACAGCCTGATAAGAAAATAAGAGAGTGTCATTTTTCTTTACTGTTTGTGTCAGTTAACAGCATGTATCTTAAATTCACATTATAGTGCTCTTGTCCTATAGTGTTTCCTTCTGTTTGTCATTGATGGATCCTGATGGGTACCCATTTTTCTTTCACTTTTGTCCGCCCACTTCTGAGGTCCCACAGTACAGTCATGACACTTCCAGCTGAGCAGCACCAGCTGGGACTGCTCCAAGAGGCTGCCACAGCAGCTCCGTAATCAGTAGCAAGAGAGAGGAGGTATTTCCTGGCTATTCTCTAGAGGATCTGCATGTTTGTTGCCCGAAGGACAACAGATGAGGGTCAAAAAACAGCTTCATTTTGTCCGAAGCCAAAACTCTGTATTTAAAACTTAGTGGTATGAGAAACAAGGATATCCAGCAGATGGGCTCTTGGCTGCCTATTTGATTAGGAAGACAACTTGTAAAAACATAGTTATAATGCTATAATAGTTATAACTTGCACAGAACTATATCCTCATCCCTGCTGAATGCTTGCAATACTACCTTTTTTTTAATGACATTTGTGTCACCACTAAATGCGAGAGACTTAGGTGAATGTGAAACACTGATTCCTACATGAATTTTTGCTTGCTATTTTACAGTCGGTATTCTTGATGGCAGCAGCTCCCAAGTGTTTTCCTTCTGGTTGCACTTCTGGGCACACAACCTGTCTTTTCGGGAGTTGATTTAGGAATCCATATGTGCTACGTGGTCTGCATTATACTGCATAATTATACTAACATTTGAAAAAAAACATCAGTGGTTACCAATAATTACAACATAGTGCTTCTGGAAACTCCCCAGGCTTCCTGTTATTAGAACAGGGGAGATGATAGTGGAAAAGCAACTGATTGATGGATGTATGTTGAATTGCCAACAGCAACGATCTATATTAGATGTACAACTAGAAAGCCATAAATACATGCAAGATGATACAGGTAAAGTTGTGATGGCAGCTTTTATGGCTAGAATATTATTTTGCAGTCACTGTGTCTTGGAGTCTATAGAAGTAACTTAGGTGATTGATACATATCTACTGCTCCGCAGTTTTGTCATTCAGCCTGTATCAGAGTTAGATGTATGCATGTACTCAGTCAAGCAAGTGAGAACATGTTTAAATATTCTTTCATCAGGACATTGTGCACATTCACATATTCAAGTGTGCTGTGGGACCAAGGTCAAAGTGCTGAGCCAACTGGAGAACTGAGCCCTTAAGTTAGTATTTGTAAGCATCTAAATACAAGACCAATATTCTTAGTGTTCTCATGATAATCTTCTTACTGATGGTTGGGCAGTCTGTGCCAGTAGAAACTTGAGGACTGTCTGCGAGGCATTCTCCCGTCTGGCTGTCACACATTCTCCCTCCACAGTTACATTCTGGGGGAAAAAGAAAGGAGTTGTGAAAGAAGAAGCTTCAAAATGTGCAACTCATCTTTCCCCTTCCACGACTAGTTAAATGATTGTATGTAGGATCATGCATGGATAGACCATCCAAAATTGAGGACTTTCTGGACTGATTTTTCCTTCAGTATGTAGAAAAAGGTGGGTTTTGCACTGCTGTCAGGTTGGACCAGGTAAAAATACAAGGTGGGAAACAGAACCAGAAAGCCTCTGCTGAAAGAAATTGTTCAGAGCTTTCTCACTAGTCACAAGCAGAGGCAGTGAGGCCAGAGTTGCATCATCTGGGCCATTGTGCATCACCATCTAGAGAGGGTGATGTTCAGGAGATGGATTAAGAAAAGTGGTACAACTGTGGTTAATCATTAGTTACAAATCTCTCCACAGCTCTGTGGAATTAATCAATGCTCTGTCAGGTTGCCACTGAATAAGCTTTCCAGCTATCAGGGACTGATAGTGGACTCCAATTCCATCATCATCTTGACCATATCAAAAAGTAAATATCTCCTACCACTTACAAGGAATAAATGAGGTTTTATATTTTGTATAACTTGAGTAAGCTACATTTTTATTGCCAGTACAAGTGGCTTTTTAAAAAGTATAATTTTTAATCTAAAGTGTCTCTTTCAAGGTTTAATTGGTTTTTAAAATATATTATTTTAAAGATTACAATATTCTTGGAACACTTGAATAGAATAACAAAAACTCAAGGAGAACGTAAGAACAGCAGCGACTTATCTGGAATTTGTTTTGTTCATGTGATTCCTGGTTTCAGCAGTATTTCATATAACAAAATTGTTTACTGTCATTTTAATGCAGCCCATTCATTCTTCTCTGTGAATTACCCTCGTATTTACATTCCACATTTCACATTAGAGGAATTATCAGCAAAAAAGTGTAATACAGTTTCAAAGTCAACACAATGGATTAACATTGGAATAGTTCTGTCTAAGTGAACTAGTCTTAGTAGAACTACTCAGTTTTTGTACTAATGTAAGAACAGAATTTGGGTTTGAATTTTGTGGGGCAATCAATAGTTTGACCTCACCACAGTCTGTGGGAACTGGGTGCCTCACAGATTTAGAGTCTACTTTTAAAAAACCCCAACTTCTTAGTGAAGTGAAAGAAAACTCTCAGTTGAAACCAGAGGTTTCTCTTTAACTGTGTCACAGGATCTAGGCTATTCCCAGGTGGCAAGTTACAAGATTAAAATTTCAATGACACTGGCGCTCAAATTGTGTCTTCATATTCAGATGGATAACTCTTAGTTTGCTATACAAATGATTATAGTAAATTAATTTCAAAAGCAGTCTTGACAATTTTTCATCTGATTAGGAAGTACCATATTTTTAGTAGGGAATTAAGACTTTCCATGCTACTGTGGCTTTCTGGTGAAGAAAACTTCTAAATTTACCTTTATTTCTGAGGAACATTTGTGAAAGCTTTGAAGTGTCACTAAAGAACATGTGGTTAAAAAATTTATTGAAAAGCAGCTGAAAACTACTGCTTTGTAAACTACCCAAGTAGTTTGGATATTGTGGATGTATTGAGTGGTGCTCGCAATCTATGCAGTACTGTCCAGTACAGCACTTCTTGGTGTTCAGCAAAAATGAAGATGAAACAAGAAGTGTGTAATTCTCTGAAACACAATACTTCAAATTCAGGATTTGCTAGTCAACTGCAAGATTAAATTCGCTCCTAACAGAGCAAAGCTGCTCTATCTTACAACATATTCAAGTGCCCAGGCACGTTTATATTTAGCAAAGATCAAACACTACAAGGCAATCTGCTAATGAAGAGAATTACCAAGATGATTTATAGTCTGCATGAAAAATCTCTGTAGAGAAGTCCTGTACACCATGAAATCCCACTTAAACTGTACCTCAGAAACATAAATAATATCAAGGCATTCTGCCTCCAGTTCGTTAAGGGTACAAACCAGAACCGTATTGAGGTTATGAAAGCTGGACTTCAGTGTAGAAACTCTTATGTTCAGAGATGCCTTCCAAAATTACGTCTTGCACAATTCGCTTAGACACTTGGAATGCTCTGTAATTCTCAGACTTCCGGCAAAGCTACTCTTAGTTATTTGAAGTTCTGCTTTTGCCCATTGCCAGGGCATGATTGCAGTGGTTTGCCGAGTTGAAGTGTAGGGTGCGTTTCTCCCGCCTCATGGCATTTAGGAGCCACAGACTAGATCCTGTCATTCATTACAGGAGAACTGCAGTTAGAACATCTCTGGTGAACTGAATTAGACAGTGAAATGCATAAATAAGGTTTTTGTTTTTGCAACCTCAAAACCCCAAAGTTGTTGAATTTCAGGCATGTCTTGGGTGCCTAAATCCACGCCGGAGGTGAGTTTTGGGGCATGCTGTTCCGTGCAGCCAATGTCTTTTTGACTGGTTTGGATACCTGGGATAGGCTTTGGGGATTACTGTGCCTGAGCACCATCTCTGCCTGTTCAACCTAAATAGAATTTAAGCATGTGACTTAGCAATGTGAATTAAATCCTGGAGAAGGACACTCAGCTTGTAGCTGTCACAGGCATATAAAAACAAAAGGGACCACTAGTGGCATCATTCACTCACAACCTTCCAAACAGGTCCCAAACACACATTAGCACTTTATAGTAAGTTAGTAAAAAGCAAATTCCAACTATACAGGGAGTTGCAAGAAGGGGACAGGCTTGATCAAGACATTGCTAAGGCTTTCTGTACCTTGAGATCCTGGAGCATGTCAGAGGCCTAGGCTGGGTGCATGCTTTGGCCGTGTCTTACCTTTGAGTCAGGCTGAGAGCTAGGAGTGATTCATCTGCTCCATTTGTGTTCTGGACCTTAAAGGAAGGACCCTGGCAAAGAGGTTGGGAAGGAGCCCCAAGGTCCTTGCTCTGAGCACGTGCATTTTGCCTTCAGCAGTGGCTATTGTGTGGTGCTTTGAAAGCGGATGTGATCTTGTCTCCCAAAGCCAAGACACTGGGTGTGAGGCTAAAGTCCTATTTGGATCAAACTTCATGTAAATTAGGAGAACAAGTATATTAGAGGATGCAAACCTCTGTGGCCCCTCTGTGTAGGTATGTTTTGGTAAGATCTTCTGGGTAGCGCTTTACCAGACCCTGGAAGTACAGTCATCTCTGGTGTGGAAATGCAGAAATCAGCAAGATTACATGGACATATGGAAAATGAGGAATAGATTACCAGTGTGAAAAACAGCAGAAGCTGAGCAGGGATTGGGTCAGGACAGGAAGGACAAAGTCTTTAAGCACCGTCAGTGTGAGTGGTTATGTTGGACAGCGTGTGGTGTAGACAAACACAAAGGTGCAGTCTCTGCCCAAAGAAAGATTAGAGACCCGTATTTAAAACAAGATGCAGGACACAACAGTGTCTACATTCATCCTTCCCAGGCATTTGAGATGTTGGAGTCTGGAGTCTGATAGTGCAAGTGCCTGGGATGATTCAACTGAACAGACATCCAAGTTACCCTGCCAGGTAGTGGCTGGGAGCACACTTTGCCCCACCAGGGCCACAGGTGTCTGATGACTGAATTAGGCATCTCTGATCTCTGAGAGGTCACCCACAGACCATGCTGTTTTGCTTGGCTATGCTGCACTACACCATAGACAATACCTGTACAGTTTTTAGCGAATCTGGCATCCCCGTAGTAACCCGGAGCACATCGTTCGCACTTGAACCCGGTGGTGTTGCGCAGGCAGTTGCGGCACTGGCCGGTCACTTCATCACAGTCTTCAAAAATCAGGTTTGGGTCTGAGTTGCCACTGCAGTCACATTTTTTACAAGTGCTTCCAATTAGCAAAGGGTTCCCATAGTAACCAGGGGCGCACCTGAAAGGAAGAGCAAACCCAGCGATGATGAGCAGTGACATTCCCATCCGCAGTACCCTTTTTTCTCTGACCTTATTTATATTACCAGGAGTTGATGACAGTTGGCAGCTGCCAACAGACAGAGGGCAAATTAGGAGCTCTATTTCTGCAGAGGCTGTTTTGTGCTCTTACCTTAATCTGTACTGTTCTATATTTCTTCCTTCTTGAACACTCCTGGTATCTCAATCACATCAGTCTGCATTATGTTGTTTTTGTGTGTCTTTAGCAGTAAAATGATTTGTTCCCCATTGTTCTAAAATCTGTGACAGAATGCCCTTGGCAGAGAGGTAGCTTTAGTGTTTATTTTGGTCTCTTTCAGCTTTGGATCTCACCAGCTATACTGTGTTATATAGGAAACTGGGGTAAGATACTGCCATTTCATGATGCTGAAACTCAGAGGAAGTTCAGACCTTATTTCCATTATAAGACACATAACAAAGTGTTATTAATATTATTATATATAAAGAGGTTTATATAAATACTTCTATGGTGAGGGACTGAGATGGTTTCTGATTTTTGCAAAACAGAACAGGCACTGAACCAGCTACCATTTTCCAGATTTGTTCGATGTTAGCATGCTGGCTGAGGGCAAAAGGCTGAGAGCAACCACCAGCACAGGAGGGGAGGATTCCTGTGTTGGTTTTGCAGAGGGAGAGAGGGAGGAGGGCAATAAGCACCACAGGGGTGGTCTGAAATGGGTCCAAATTGCTTTTTGTGTCTTGTCATTTTTGGGAAGCATTTCAACTGAAAATTTACTGCATCTTAAAATGGACAAGATACTGAAACTGTAGTAATTTTTCAAAGTCTAGACAAACTAGCGATATGTAACATTCCTGGGTAACCAGTAGCCCTAGATTAAGGCATCGGGTACTAGCTTTGGTGTCATTGTTTGGAAAGAAAGGAGACGGTCTCTGTTAAAGGAGTTTCTGACAGTAGCAGGGAGTGTGCTTAATCCTTCAAGCTAGAGGAACTTTTACAAAACAGCTAGTGAGGTGGACAAAGCTGGCACCAGAGTGGGCATGGAGCAGCTCACGGGGGCTTCAAACAAGGGCTTCTCTGGAGGAGCTGGTGGCTGGAGCAGTATGAAACAGTGGCTGAGGGACTGGGGAGGGGTAAGGGGTAACACACACTGTTCATGGTGTCACTGTGGGGTGGCAGGAGGGTCCATGACCCAGCAGCCTGGGGCACAGAGATCAGGAACTCATACCTCCCAAGCTGGGAATGAATAATCGCTGCAGAGAAGGGGATAACTAGCTGGTGTAGCAATTGTTGACTGAAGAAATCAGAGGATTGAATAGTTGTTCCAGTGATTTAAGTAAGGAGGAGTTATTGCACTTCATCCTGTTTTATCACCCTATTGTCCTTGTCTTTTCTCCAATCCATAAAGTCCTTAAAGTCCTGTTTTAAGATGCTGTTTGTTCTGCTGTTTGTGGGTTGGAAGGGTGAGCTCTCAGGCAGATTAATTTAATTTTCCCAGGTTCTGGATGGGGACCTGAGCCAAGGTCTCTTGTCTCCTAAAATATGAACATAGTCAAATCCAGGTTCTGCTGTCTGAATAATGAAAATGTGGGAGATCTGATAAGAGCTTCCAGTTTTGATCTGTTTCTACATTTGCTGATTTATTTATTTTTTTAATAAAGAAAGTAATTTCCTCAGTGCTGCTTTGTTCATGTTCCAGTCCTGAACCCCCACAGAAAAAACACATAAAATTTTAAGCATCTTAATGTAAAACACTTGGCTGCCTCAAATCCTGCTTTTGCCAATGACAAAGGCTCTGTTTGTCTCTTTGCAGCACTGCCAGAGTCTTTGGTGCAGATCTTATCATTTTGGTGACCCAGATGTAAAGAACAAAAGTGTGACCGGGAGGCTCTATGCACCCCTCAAAGAACTGTGAATGTGACACTGAGTGCAGAGTGTGATTTTACTGACTTTGGTGGAGTTAATCCCCATTCCCATGGGAACTAGAGCAGGCAGTGATAGGAAATGCTACTATTCAGTCATGCCAAAAGTCTTGCTATAATTTTCTAATATTTCAGCCAATATGAGATTTTAGTGTTTTCCTGAATTTTAGAATTTCAGTATATTTGTGAAGTTTGACCAAGAAACCCCTGCTCTGTGGTTGTTTGTTTTGGGGTTTTTGTGGTTGGTTTTTTATTTTTATATTTTATTTTATTTTTTAGATATTCAGTTTATTCTGAACTCTCAACATTTTGGAGAGTTGCTTTGTAATTTTCTGTAGTTTGCTATTTCCCAAATGATAATCTGCCTAATGTGGCCAAGTTACAGAAGCCACTGAGCAGTGCTGGGGCCAGACCAGTGTGTTACTTACCAGTACCCAGCTCTGGTTTTCAGCTAGCATCTACCAAAGACTGCCTGCTGTTCCCATCAGGCCCACAACGTCTGCCCTCTCAAGGAGCAGGACAAGGTGACTTTTTTCTTCTTTTCTGAAATATACCATTCAGCTCACTTGCCAGAGACACAGTGGACAGGTCCTCATGAGTGCTGCTTTTTATGACCATGTGACTCACTTTTATTAGCCATATCTCCTCATCTGGAGTAGCTATCTAAAACAATTAGAAACTTTAAGAGCTGAAAATAAATGTGTCACCTTCACTTGCCCCTTCCCTTTGCCACTGAGTGCATCTCGTGGGGCTGATTTGCACTGGGCCTCTTTTGAACAGCTTGTAGCGTGTGAGAAGAGCAGAGGCCACTGGATGGAAACAACTTGCTCCATCTCTGCCCCTTATGGCCTGAAAAAGTAGAGGCCTGGGGTAAATGTCTTTTCCTCTGTTGTATCAATAAATGGCTCTTTGTTGCTAACAACAAATATTTCCTCTCCCATAATAAAGCTGCTAAGTTACCTTTGTTTCATTCTGTAGCCATGTTTGCTTCCTGTAATTATTGGTGAGTAAGAAATTAACTTCCTCTTCCCTGGTAATACCAAAAGAACCTTTTAATTTCATTCACTGTGGACACTAAGGAATGATTTGTTCAGTTACCTTTTTTAACATTTGGGCATTACCAAAACCTAGATTTCATCTACTGCCACCTTAATGCCTTATTACTGAAGTCCATGAGCAAGATGATTCATTTCTAAATTTCAAGTTGGGAAGCTGTTTTTCTCAGTTCTAGCAAAGGCCTTTGTGATTTCACAACAGTGTTTGCTGGCAAACATAAACTGGATAGGTTTGTGCCAAGCCCCCAGAGCAGCACAGGAAAGCCTCCTACATGTATGCCAGAGGAAATGAAGCAGATTGCCTCCTGGTGTGCAGCTCTGGAGATCCTCACACTGCCTGTGGAGGGGTGTCCTGCAGCTCACTGCCCCATGGTGCCCGTCACTGACCTCTGCAGAGAGCTGGGAGGGAGAGCAATGAGTAGGGTGTAGCCTTCCTCTCCCTGGGGAGACAAGCATCTATGTGGGCTGCAGAGTGGGACAGAGGCATTGCTCAGGATCCCCTAGTCCTCCTGCCAGCATGCTGATGGCACGGTAGGTGCCAGTGGGAATACGGAGTGGTGGCAGTGCCCAGCAGCAGCGTACGTGAGACAAGGAGTTGCTCTTTGTCAAGTGAACAGGCACAAGCAATGATTTCTAATCAGTCTTTAAAATGCTTTTTGCTGTTTCTGGCACAAATGGGAGTAGGACCAGGAGCTTACCAGTAGAAATGTCTGGTTTGTTGCTGCTTGCTACCTATCTCAGCAGTTAGTCAAGGACTTAATATGGTGACCAGGACAGGCTGATTTCTTTCTGTAGCTTTTTCTAACCCGTCTATGAAGCTTTGTCTTCTTTGAGGCAGATGCACTGTGTCAGTCTGTGTGGGGGCTATTAGAAAACGAAGCTGATGCTATTTTCTGCTGTTACTATGCATCTGCTATTCATTTCATATGATTTGAATTGCTTGGAGTCTAGTTGACATTTTAATAACCATTAAGAAACCTTACTGACCTTTTAATTGTCTGCGTTATCCTTTGTGTATAAATCTGATATTTTGGAAGAACAAAAGAATACAGCCATAGGCCTGGAAGCAAGGGTTATTTTTTTTTATTTTTGGGCCATCTGTTTAAAGGGCTATCACTATTTCTGTCACCATGTTAGAGATGCGGACGTAATATGCTGATGGTTTTGCATCATCTGTTAGGGGCAAAAGCCTTCACTCTTTTTTCCATCTTACCTTTTTCATATTGATTTCTGTTTGCATCTTAAGCCTCCTCTTTCTCCATTCTCTGGTATTTATATTAAGTATCATTTGAATTCAAGACTTGCCTGTTAATGATAGTGGACTGAAGTCTTAAATACTTCAGGGGCTTTAAAGAAAATCAAAATGAGGTGTTCAGGAAGCCATCCTGAACAGCCAATTCACATCATATTATGTCTGAGGCATCCTATACCCCTCAGTCTTTGTGTTAGAGCTGTTCTAATTTACAGGTCAGCTGCTCAAGGAGAATTTCTAAATTATAATCAGGCCTCTGACATTTGTTGAGACATCATCCATGTGTGTTCATAGCGAGTAAGATGGTGCTTTACAAGATAGGAGAGTAAGTTATATTTCTGCTGTATAGCTCCATTTATTTGAGTACTTTGTTATTTAGAGGATATTTACTGGAAATTGTTTACGGGCATAAGGGAAAGTTGAAAAGCAACACTGGCCTATGTTTGGTTGTTTATTGAATTATGTCTATAATGTACATTTAAAATTTAACTAAAAAGGCTACATCTGCTCCTTAAGAATTTGACTAGATGACGGATTTCCTCCTTTGCTTTTGAAAAAATGCATTTGTTAAAAGCTTACTATATGTTTTAGAGCTGTGAATTGAAAGAAGCATCTATGTGGTCATTGTTTTTCACTTCAGTTGCTGTTTCTGATGTGTATTTTGTATTTTGATTTTTAAATTGTATTCCTGTTAGGAAGATTACCACATGAAAGTACACAAAGTCTAAGAACTCAATCAAAATACATCATATGTAAATGTCTGTCTTACCCTGACATGTCTCCATGGCAAGTTTTTATTGTTTTTAGTGGAGAATGAGATCCTTTAACAGACATGATTCAACCTGATGAAAATACATGTGCAAGCTTTCTCCCACATATGGGAAGATTCCTACAGAGACTTCTGGACTTCAGTATTATTGACCAGCAAGTCATCCTATTAGTTTCTTACCTTTCACAGTTGGGTCCTGCATAGTTTTCCTTACAGACACAGCGCACACTTCCACTTTTTCTGTAACAGGAGACTGCAAAGCTGGAATTTCATTAGAATGAATAGTTAGAATAGAAGGCAATGGCAAACACTTGGGAGTATTTCTTTCTTACATTATGGACATTTGCTGTCAGTGTGAACTCTGGCTCATGGTTACTCACTGCTGAATAGGGATTCTTGAGCTCTGTATGTTACTCACATTACACCCCTTGTTTAGTCTTTTTAATTAGTGTAGAAAGCACGAATTCATATCTAGCACTATGGAGCTATATAAATACAGATATATCTGAAAGGTTTGTCTTGCAGTGTAGATCAGACACACCTGCAGGTTTTGATACACCCATGTTAGATAAGGGACTTAGGATAAATGTGTATGTCATGGAGAAGTAATTGCATCCTCTGTCTTATTCTAAGGGGTAAAATATTGCTTATGCAAGACACTGCAGTGAACACTTCAGGAATTGAGATTCTGGAATGGGTGTAGCAGTTTCCAGTGCAAATCCTACAGTTTTCTCAAATCCGATCTGGAAGTACCAAGTTGTGAGAACTCACCTCATTTGCAGTAACCAGGGCTGCTCTACTATCTCTGAGTAAGCCGAAACGAGTCTGGGGCCTCCTCTTAGACCAACATGCCAGGTATTGACACTGCTTGCAGTAATAGCTTGGGGTGTAATTTTCACTGCCATGATTCTAGATCATGGATTCCTTTCCTTCCGTATGTTTTCAGGATTTAACATGTTTAACTATGAGACCCAAGAAACAGCAGCAGCAGATGTGGAAAGTGCAAATTGTATACACTTCAAACGCAGTGATGGACATGGCTTAAATACATTTGCAAGAAAAAGACATACAATCCTAAAGATGTTTCCAGTTAGTTTGCAATATGTGTGAGTAAGTTTCTGCCAGAACTGGAACGCGAGCAGAGTAGTGAGTGGCAGCAGTTGCCAGCTGCGGGACCGTGGTTGCTAAAATGCAGGTCCTGAGTTGTACAGTGTTGGGCAGCTGTGGCCAGGTTGCATTGCTTTCATACAGAAGTACGAAAGGCTCAGAGCCATGGGAAAAGCATGATCCATGCTTGTTTTTACCTTGTTTTGGGAAGGAGCAGCATTGAAAGGTGACAATTCCTGCATAATTTCAGTTCCCACCAGCATTTCTCAGCTGGTTGGAAAACCAGGGTCAAATAAATCTGTGACTGGATGTCTGCTGTCTCAAAACATTTTATATAACCAGAGAGAACATAAAATGAGACTTTTCTCACAGAATTCACAAATTAACTTCTGTAAAGCTTTTGTGAGAACGTACTGAGAAAATTGTAACAGTTTGGCAGCCTTCCACTTCTTTTACAGAGGCTAATTCCTTCACGTAGTTGAAAAAACCACATTGTGGATTTAAGTTATGAAATAAGACTGAAGCCTTCCTGAAGTTTTACATTTTCTGTGGTCTTTTAGGGAAAAACATTTCATACAATTCCCTTGGGTTTGAAAAGAAGTAACATCTGCTGGACTGGGAAGCAATTTCTATCCTCCTTTCTTTATTCCAAAGAAATGATATTAGACTTTTATGTGTAATGTCCAAAAGTTATTCCAAAACTTCCCAGGATAGCAGATATGAAGATACTTTGTTCAGAAAATCTAGAGACACACAGATGAATCCCAAGAAAAAATATGTATCTCATGAGTCTGTCAGTTTACAGAGTTGGTCACTTTGTCTAACTATTATGAATTCACTGGCTATTTCCAAAGTAAAACAGAGTACAAACCAAACATCCTTTGGATGTTCTTTATTTAAGGCTTTTAATACTTCTCTGCTTTCTGGTAGAGTTATGGTTTTGCTTTAATATAAATGGAGCAGGATTAATGGAGAAAAAATAAATAATAAAAAAAAAGAACAGTTGTTCTTTCAGTTTAGTTGTGCAAGGCTGAATGTTGCTCAATCATTATTATCTGCCTGTTCCAGCTCCAGCTGAAGGCTATTGCTGTGGTCAAGTCTCTCTCATGCAAGAAGCTGAACAGGCAATTTCTGCATGTTATTTAAATACGAGTATGAGGCAAATTTGGATTGGATATTCCTTTAACTATTGCCTTCAGGACATTTCTAAGGGAAAACCCTGAAAAATTGAAGTGTATTTTTGCTGAGGTAGTTTTGAAGGGGCGACATATCGTGGAACATAGAATATCCTGACCCACAAGGATCATCAAGTTCAAGTCCTATATTGCTGCTAACCTTGAAGCATCTGCAGAGTCCTTATAACTTTTGTTCTCCCTTCACTGTCCCACACTGCTGTCCTTCTGAGTGTAGGGTTTCCTTATCTCTAGTGGTCTGGAATAAGAGAAGCATTAAACCCCTAGCAGAAGGGCTAAGGAGCATGCTGAAGCAGGGAATGCTCCTTGGCCTCTGCAGCCATCTCCTTTAGTGCTGGCAGAGATGATAGCCTGTAGCTCAGGTCCTTGCTGGTCCCACCACACCAAGCCTGGCTGGGCTGGCTGGCTGGCTCCCTGCTGTCAGGGGCACTGCTGCAGAGCCTGGTGGGCTGCAGGGCTGGGCAGGGTGCTGGGTGAATGCAGACCCAGCCATGCTCTGTCAAATTGCACTGTAGGGAGGACAGACTAGACCTTGCTTGACTGACCATGCTTAATAGAGACTGGGTCTTGTGAGTAAGTGCCTCAGACATGTGCAGCCCAGGTTGTGGTTGAGAGAATAGCTCCTTACACTAAAGTGTGCCCAACAGGTGAAAAAAACCTCCCACAATTTCTTTGCTAAGGAAAAACCATTGCTTCCAGCTGGTGTATTTCTATTTCTGGCATTTGCAACCGCTACTGAAACTGGAAGAAGTGGTCTGCTTCGTCTGTGAGCTTGCTCACTCTTAAGCCTGTCTACATGTGAGCAAAGCCAGGTTATTCCCGTGTTTCTGGAGGATTTTATTTGTAATCCAGGCAAAGCTGCAGTTTTTCAACAATAGCTGCTCCCCACCCCACATCCCTCCTCACATGTCTGCAGCTCACTGAGGAAGCCAAGAGGTGATCTGTGGGAGTTTGTCCAGAGTTAGTTTGCTCTGTGGCCATTTTGAGGCCGTGCCATTGAGCAGCTGAGCAAAATGCAGCTCATCCCACCTTAAGGCTGTATGAGTAATCCCATAGCAACAGCAAACAAACACAGTGAGGAAATTCCCCTTTGCTGAGAAGCCTTGCTGAAAGCAGAATGGGAAGTAACACAAGTGGAGTAAGTAGCTCACTAAAGAATAGCTTAAACCCAGCAGCAAGTATTTCTAACATTTCCTCTGTGCACTATAGTGGAATTTGCATAGGTGCCTCTCTCCCAGGGGATGGACCTTGAGCAAGAGGAAGTTGATAATTCCTTTCTGGTGCATTACTGACAGGCCACTAAGTATCTAGTACTGCTAGTCATGGTTTGTAGTTATTTGTTTCTTCTGAAGTAACAAAGTGGCTAACAGCTGGAGCTCTTTGGGTTGGTCTTGTTTTTCTGTCAGGCTTCAGAGTTTCTTATCCAAAGGTAGCTGGGCATCAGCTGAAGAGGCACCATAGCTGTCACAGTGTCCTTCAGCCTTTCCTTTCAAGTGTTACTGTACTAACCAGATCCATCTGCTGTTGACTCAGGAGACTGCCAGACTATGCTTTTTTTGTGGTTGGTTTTACTCTCCAGAGGTCATGGTTCTATGTGTCTGTTTGAGCTACATACGTCTCTGATGCCACCTTCTCTGGGAACTGATCTTTAAGGGATTCATAAGAGTAACCAGACAGCTGAATAATCTCACCTACATAAAAGAGGGTGGACTTAAACTTGCTCAAATATTTTCTGCTCCCTCTTGGTAAGAACTGATACGAGCATTTAAGGGTATTTTGCACCTTCTAAATGAAATGCTATTTCCTGTGGTGTTATGAGCAGCTGGTAGTCCTTTTATTTTCCCCCAGTTAGCAATGACAGCAGCCCTTGTATCCTGCATCCAGGAAGGAATGCTGAGCCCAGCTTGGAAGGGGCCAAAGCCAGCCCAAATCAAAGAGAAGCAAAGACTCTTCACTTACTTGGCAAGTGCTGGCAGGGGGCAGGGGCAGGGCTGGCAGAATGTGGGGACTCCTCTGACAACATCACCAATGAAGCCATCCGGGCATTGCTCACAGTGCTGCCCTGTTGTGTTTCTGTGGCAGTCCTTCAGTAGAAAGAGAGAGAGAGTGGTAAAAGTTAAATGGAGGTGCTGCCTAAGGCAGAATGAAATAATTTAGCTGGAGACCTGGCCAAGCAGAATAGGGGCAAATGCCAGACCCCAACCCTTTAAGGCACTGACAGAGGCAGCCAAACCATCTAGCACTGCTGCAAATAAAAATGCTATAAATTATCACACTGGCCAGCCAGAAAGTGTTGGCAAGGTGTGGTACAGGACAAAACAGACACACATGCCTGCTAGGTGCTGGAGCAGAAGCAGCACTGCCCAATGTCAGAGGTACTCAGGTGTAGCTGGTAACCCTGTATTGAATTGCATGTGCCAGCAGAAAAGATCCTTTTCACTGAAACCAAACCAAAAAATATCTGCTGGTGAATACTATCAGCAGATTTCAGCCTAGATACAAATTTCAGCAGTGCTTCTTCTTGGACATTGATGACTAGAAAAGAGCATTGGGGAAATCTGCCTGCAAAGGGTGATACACCAGTGGCTCTGATGCTTTTTTCCTGAGATGAGTAGTGTTACAGCCTTACTACTCCTTGTTCTCAGCCTTAAAAAAGGTCCTCTTAATGGAGGGAAGAAGCAGGAGACTTTTATAAGTGGCCTTTCTCTAAGATACAGGCAAGAGTGTGTAATGTCATTCACTTTATAAGCGAGTTTCATCTCCACAATTTAATGTTTGTCAGGAAATATGCTTCTTCATGCTGAGGCAAATCAGCCACCAGCAGATATTGCTGGAGTTCCATGGAAGTAAATCAAGGTGTGGTAATTCATACAGAATATGTGTTCCAAAATATTTAATGATGCTAGGTTCAAAATTGTACCTCTCAGATTATATTTTTTGATTTAAAAAGGTCAAGATTTGCTGTAAGCAATTCTAAATAGAATTTGCAAGTCCTGCAAGCTTAAGTAAGCATTGTTACATCTTCTGGTTTATAAATAGACACACTCAGATGCTACAGGTTATGTGGGCTTTTCCCTAGGCACATGTCAAGGTGGTGGGTGACTGCTGCAGAGTGCATGAACAGTGCTACTGCATACTACAGGACTCCTGCAGACTCCTGTCCCCCTTTCCACTTCAGCAAAATGACCAGTTGTCATCAAAACCCCACAACCCTCCAAATTCTGTCTGTCTCACCAAATAAGGGTAGGAAGGGTGCAAAATTGCTTTTCTTTCTTGCAGCTGTGCAAGGAGTTTTGCAATGTCCCTGAATCAGAACTCTCCAGCTATACCACTTTGTACCAATACAGTACACATGCAAACAGCTATGTGAGGCTTGGAGCCACAAGGAGTCAGCTTCATGGCAGAAATATGTGGAGAACTACTCTGTCAGTGCATATTAGCTGTGGTTTTGGGTTAGCATGCTTGATTCTTTCCTCTTCTGACCTACAAACAGCAAGTGGATCATGGAAACTGCAGACTGGTGATATGATTTCCATCCCTGGTGAGATGACAGTATCCATGATAAAGAAGATCTCTGAGTACATAACTAAGCATCATCTGATTCGGGAGCTCCTGCTTCCCTAGCTTGCTGTATAATAGTGTAAATAAGCAAGTGTATGAAGTGGAACCAGAAGACATATCTGGACTTTTAGAAAAGCCAACTAAGTTTTCAGGGGACTTGAAGAAAGTTTCTTTTATGAACTGAAAGCTGATAAAGACTAGGAAGCAAAGGGTAGGATGTAACAGTCACTTTTCAGAGTGGTGAGGTGTCACTATTAGTGTCACTTAGGTGAGAAACTAGGCAAGAAACTGGTGCTGAGACCCGTTTTGTTTGGTATTCACCAGTGTCTTACAAACAGAGACCAAGGCTAGGGCTGCTCAGCTGGGAGAGAAAGGCTGGCAGGAAGGTGTATTTGGGTGATGTCAAATTGAAAAATCAGTGAATAAACTGAATGCAGAACAGCAGCTCACCCAAATCCTGCAATACAGGAGCTGAGAAGCACTGACTTGAGAAGGTGCTTCCTTACACAGAAGGTAAGAAATTTCTGGAACTTGCTGTCAGGAGTTGACAGTATTTGCGGTGACAAAAGGGGTTTCCTAGAGAAATTCATGGGCAACAGATTCGTAAGTGAGTATTAGAAGGACTCAGGAGGTATGTACCCTCTAACATATCCTAATTCACCGATTGTGGATGCTGGTGGAGACTTCAGGAATGGGCCAGGCTAGGTGCCTCCCGAAACAGCATCTCCTATTGCCACCACTGGAGACCCAATATGGGCTGCAGAGACTTCTGGCTGGGCCCTGCAGGGGAGTTCAGAGTTGGTGCAGGTGCTAGGAAATGACCATGGTGCCCCAGTTTATTTTCCAGCAGTCATTTAATCCCATCACAGAGCTTGCTGTGCTATCAGCAGCTGGTGTTCCCTGGAATAACAGGGAACCTGAGAATGGGATTTCAGGAGCGCTCACAGCACGAGGGAGCTCACCAGCATGGGGCAAAGGGCACCTTGGCCTCTCTGTGGTTGGAACTTCTTCAGCAATACCAGGTTGGGGTTGAGTGAGCTTGGTTTACTGATTTTTTACCTGAGCCAGTCCCTACAGATTTGAAACTTGCTTTCTACTCCAAACATGGTGTGTTCTTTGAAGAAGAGAATGAGGAGAGAGTCATGTGATTAGTGAAGACATTTAATGAGAACAGATAGTCAAGTTTCACTTGCAAAGGCATTGCTAAATCTGGGTATTGTAACTTTGATTAAGTGGCAGAATCCTGTTCTGGCAAAGCTGACATTTCATTGTTTTGTTGGTTTTTTTTTGTTTATTCTGAAGTTTGTGTCCAGGTATCATCAGTCTGCACTGCAAAGTGTTACTTTTCTAAAGGATACTCACCCTTGTGAAAAGACATCTGATTTTTTTTCACCCAGTCTTCCCTATTTGAATCCCATTAAAGCTCCACACTTAGTACTCACTAGTTTAGCGCAGGTCTTTTTTGATTCTAGAAGACTTTGCTTGTCTTGCTGTATGTTTTATAATCATTGAACAGTAATTATTTATTTCTGTGATTTGGCCAGAGATCTCTACAGCAAACAGAATATGATAAAGAAAGGAAAAAAGTAGATTTCATTTTCCATGGATCTTTAGATGAGACACTAGTAATTGTAGAGCTTTATCCCTACACCTTTAGGTGGTTTTCCATAGTAATTCTTGCTGTAAAGAAGACAGTACAGAAAACTAGAGGGTTATTTTAACTAAAATGCTCTAAAATGAGAGAATACAGAAAGCTTGACTAGATGGAGAGGAGGAAGAGTGAAGAAACTTGATGAGAGCAGAGAAATTGAGGGTAAATGAGGGCAGAGTAGCAGGCAGCTGCTGGGGAGATGTCCAGATGTTGTACTCCTCACTGGCCTGAGTGCACTAACCATGAGGCTCATGGTGTGAGCCAGAAGGCACTAGAAATCTAATGCAGTTTTAAAAATAGTTTGCATTTGTTGTTGTTCAATGAAAAAGTGATGTTAATGTACCAAGAGAGAGATGAGTGTGTGACCACTGAGTGCTCAAAGAGAAAGAGCAGTTCTGTGTCAGAAGCACTGGCAGAGGTGTCAGGTGGGCTGCATTCAGTAGTAGCCTTCATCGCACTCTTCGTTTGTGCTCTGAGCAATTCAATTCACCTCTCTTGTCCTCAGCTCTTTAAACAACACAATGATATTATGAGAATAAACCTGTTCTTGGTTTCCAAAGCTCAGATACTGCTGTGTAAACAGCAGGGCAGCAAATGATGCACCTTAAATCTGCAGTGTTTTTCATCTTCTAAACTGAAGGGAAGTGCTAAAAGGCCCTTTTACTCCAAAGACCCTGTTAGCTGAGTGCTTGAGACACTTTTGTAGTTTTTCTCTGGTTAGTGATTATCTAGAAGTGGCTTTATCTTATTTAAGAAATCAGAACTCCTGTGGTAGTTTAGTATTATATTTTTACAGTGATAAAAAAGTGTGCTTATATTTTATGTTCCATTAGCTTGTATCTCCAACAAAACTGCTGACATCAATAAGCCTGGGAGACACCTCTGAAGGCAGGGAGGACACCTTCTCTGTAGCTCATGGGTGAATCTCAGTGCTGGGTGGCACTGGCTTGGTAGTGCAACAAAAGTGCTTGCTTCTAAATGGATCACTAAAAGGAGTTAGAAAATGGTATTCCATTTGTGGCGATTTTTTGTGAAACCAGATTTTAAATAAGCGCCTTGCTGTGAGAATTGCAAGGGCTGTTCTTGGTCCTGGTATTCATACCTGCGTTATAATGAAAGGCGTCATTTATGGTTGATGTTATGAATCGGACTATGTGTGGCATTGCTGATGTCCTTCCCTGCCTCAGTGGTTCATTCAAACATACTCACAGAATTTTAGAAATATGTTTACTGACACTGGTATCTACTTTCTCAAATAAAGAAACTCAGTCTATAGTTTTTGTTTCAGTTTCCTTTGAAAAACAAGGAATACTGAAGTAAAAATATTTAGAAAATATGGAGTGACATCAAAAACAAATTTAGCAGCAAATTGCTTTCTGTCTTTGTACGGAACAGAATGAGACATGGTAAAGGTCACAGAAACAGGTACAACTATGCAGCTAGAAGTATCGCAGCTAGGCTTTATAACACTCTGCTTTTTGTAAACTGTTTCAAATTACAGTAAGTTAAAATTATAAGATCAATTCTTTCCATATGCCCATGTTGATATAACCTTTATTTTCATAAATCAAAAATCAATGGACGTATCAGCTTCAGAGGAAGTAATACAATATAATAGCAGCCTGGCTTCTGTATGAATCTACAGCATATAATCATTCATCCATTGGTACACCAGCAGCAGCTTGTCAGATGACAGTGGCTGGAGTGTATTTTCCTATGTTAGAAAATGTCTTACTGGTCCTACTACTTGGCTCTCACTGAGTACCATCAATCAGGATGAACATTTTTAACTGTCCCTTATTGTAACTATACTTTACACAATGAAAAGCACAGCAAAAGGTGCTGTGGGGGGTTTACTTTAGAATGATTGTC